AAAACATTAAAATGTATTCAGAGCCTAGAAGTCTAGCTCAATGGTTGACGCTCTGGCTTCAATCCACATTGCACATATATACACATGGACAAATCAAGAAATGTTATTTGAAATGATCAAACCAACAAAATGCCAATATAAGGATGGTAGCTCTCAATGCCGGAAACAGAAATGAGGACAGAGGTGCCTGGCTGTGTACGCTACTCCCTTTCAAGCAGTAATAAGGCATTGTGAGAGCCGAAGAGCTGTGTAACAAACACAGTGTGCAAAGAAGAGTAGAGAAGGGATTACCCACCACAAAGAGTCAACTCTAGGAGCCAACAGAAGTAATTAAATGTGCCTGTTCCTCAGCAGGCATTGTGCTACTGGTCTTGCGAAAATGACACTGGTGCAAGGTCACACACATGACCATGTGATGGCCGAGAAGCACAGAAGCAGTTACTGCACTTCAGTGATGGGTTTTGTTTACATTTGCATGATTGATGTTATTAGTCTTTACATTTTTCTTTTTATAATACTTAAGCTTAACGAGAAACCTTTCTTACTGATCACACTGAATCCTGACAGAAGGCACAGAAGCCAGCCTGCAGCTGGCTGTCTCAGGGTGAAGGCCAGCCACAAGATTTCCCACCAGCCTTCCTCACTAAGTACAGAGAACCTTGACAAATGGGCAAAATCAGATGACAGCTAATTTCAAGAGACAGATACAGAGAGCTGCAGCCTACAGGGCCCAGGCCCAGCTTGTATCAGGGCACTTCTTCAGCAAACTCCTCTAGCAACAAACATAAAACAACAACCTCTGGATTTTTTGCAGGGAGTATGGGGAGGAGGAAGTAGCTTACAATTTCAAAACAGAACTCCCAGGGGTTGAAGATAATATAATAAACACAACAATAAGGAAGAATGAAAGGCAAGAAACAGCCTTGAGAAACACCCTAAGAAGGCATGGGCTCAAGTGTGCAGAACACACAAATGCAAGGCTCAGTATGAGCAGGGAGACAGCAGTGACCCTGAAACTGATTCCAAGGGTCTCATGGGCAGCGCTTAGTGACAGCAGGCAGGCAAGGAGCAGCACACAGCATACCCCAGGGTCTGATTCCCCACCAGGAGGACAACAGGCTCCCTTGCAGAAAAGGAAGGATTTCAAGAGGCAAACTCAGCTAGGATAAAAAATACTAAGTCTTCTTAGTATTGCTTAAAGTTTAACTCTCATATCCTAGACTTGTGGCTCCTGGGATCTTCATATTACAGGAAAAGCTGCTACAAATTCTTCCCAGTGAGCACACAGTGATGCCATGGGGCTCCCCAGCTCTTGTATAGACAAAGTTGGACAAAAGCAAAAGGCATCATAAGAAAGTCTTTCTCTTTCAGTGGTGGCACACACCTTTAATCCCAGTACTTAGGAGGCAGAGGAGGGCAGATCTCTGAGGTCAGCCTGGCCTACATAGTGAACTCCACAACAACCAGAGCTACATAATGACACTCTGCCTCAATAAAACCAAACCAAATCAAACAACCAAAAAAAAAATCAACCACCACCAAACCACCACCACCACCACCACCACCACCACCACCATCACCACCACCACCACCTACAAGGTAAAATAGCAGAGTGACTCAGAGAGTTCTTTATTCACAGTACAGAATACTCTGGCAAAACATTAGGACAGCGGCTTAAGCCAAAAGAATGGACAACTATACTCTCAGTTATATATTTTATAGTCACAAGATAGTTGTAACAGGAAAAAAATATTCTTAATCCAATAAATATTCTAAGTAGCTTATAGAATCCTTACCTCACTGTTTCTTTTAAGCATAAATACCAGGTTAGCATTTCTACCCTATAAAATAACAATAAAAATGCATTTAAAAAATGAAAAATTTGATGTAAAAACTAAACTCGATGTAACTTTGAAAAGTCACATTGTACTTCTGGCTTTATTTCTTTTATACCATGGCATCCCCATAGAGGGTATAAAGAGAAGTTGAACTAGTGTTTACTAAAAAAGCCATTGGAATAGGATTGAGAGGGGTTGGGGTCCAAGCAGGCCATTTAATGAAACTGGTCCTGTCAAGGCAGAGTGGAGTTGGGACTGTAAAAAGACAGGTGGCCCAAAGGGCCAATAATGTGGGCCTATCAACTATATGGTTTGCTCTAAGAATGTGCTTTCCCTAGAAAACAAAATTCCATTACAATTGACAATCCCAGTATCTGAGGCAGATCATGGGAAAAAGGCAATGAACTGAAAGGAGGTGCCACAGGTTCACGGGCCTGAGTGTTCTCTAGAAAATCTTACCTTTTTCAGGCCACTATCTGACTCTGTTCTCCTAAGGTCTTGGCCGTCATCACCCTCTTCTTTCTCACCTCCTAAACAACAACAACAACAAAACCCAAACAGGTATGTTTAAAGTGGTAGGAGAGGTGAGCCAAGAAAACAATATAGTTTAGGCGTATTTACAGTTCTGAATCCTATTAGTATTGAAAATAAAAAAAGGCCAGGAAGCCACTCAGTGGTACTAGGCCATTATTCACAGCTTCACTAGTGGAGAAGCAAAAAAATTAAATCCAAAACAAAGCAGCAAGCACAGCTTAGCAACCTTATTTGATGCTTGGGGCCAGAAGAGTTGGAATGTAAGGATTTCTGAACACATGTAATAATGAAACATGTGGAAGATGGGACTTAGGTCCAGACACAAAGTTACTGACTGACTCATACAAACTTTCACATACAGAGCCCAGAGATGGCAGTATACAGTATTTTGAGCATGCTGTGTCCTTATTGGAACTTTTCAAGTACGGAGTGGAGTTCCCAACTGTAACATGTCAGCAAGTTTTGAACTCTGAAGCAATTTGGACTTCAACTTTTCAGATTAGAGATGCTCAAGGCCTCTGGCTAGAGTTTGCTTAGCTGAGGGACAACAGCAGCAGGAAGCTTATGGTCCCAGATGAACATGATTCCGACAGGAATTCCTGACTGTTTAAGAATGTCATGAACATAGTTATTGATGAAGGGACAGACGAGATGGAGCTACCAGAATCCAGGTCACTGTGAACTGCAAAGGAATAATGGATGGTTTACCTTTGGAAGCATTCATCTGATGACAGTCAAATCCTCCAAAGGTCTCTGCTCTCCGGGGCAAAGAAATGGGCCCAGCCACGACTTCCTGCTCAACAGGGCTGCTGATAGACTGTCCAAGTGTGCCACCAAGGCTTCCACTCACCAAACCCTGAAGGATTTCCACTGGAAAAAAAGCAAACAAAATACTCAGCCGGGTGTCTATCTTTCTTCCATTAAGAGGGAATGATATTATGGCAACATGTGATGTATACAGCCTGGATCAGAAAATCCCAAAGAATGGGACATCATGCATTTTTAGATGGGCTCTACTGGAAACAGTGGAACAGATTTCACCTTTACTACCTTGGGCCTGAAACATCTGTGAGGGAACAGGAAGGCACAGTAATTTACTGGGAGGTGTATGGTTTCTGGAGTGGCTTCAAGGTAGTTGAAAGGACTGAAAAAGTGAACCAGTTTGAGAACAGCAAGTAAAACTAGCTGATTTTGCTCCTCTGAGACCAGGTAGACTTCAGGGGTAGAACACCCTAAGTGTCGGGATCTAACAGTGCAACCCTTAACTGTTAACTTGAGATCTTCCCTCTGGCAGGGCTGGTGGAGAGGACACTGAAGCTAGAGAGCCACAGAACAGGAACAACAGGGGTAGATGAGAAAGGAGGTCTAGAGGAAGTCAGAGGCATGAAGTCTTAACACACATCAAGTTTTAAATAAGGTATTAAAAACAATAAAATATAATAGAAACATAGATGTGAGAAACTCTTTTTTTTTTCTTTTTTTCTTTTTTGTTTTTTTGAGACAGGGTTTCTCTGTGTAGCCCTGGCTGTCCTGAAACTCACTCTGTAGACCAGGCTATCTCAGCTTAGGAGCCTGAGGGAGCAGTATTGAGACTGAGGGCAGCATGGTCTCTTGTAACAAGGTCTTAGTTTCAAACAAAACAGAAAAACAAAGAAAAACTAGGAAAGAAGAACAAGTCAAACTCAGAGCTGGCAAGAAAAATAATCACAGAAACTAGAACCCAATTAGCACATAAGAGCAATGTGCCCACAAAAGATGGCAGACAGGTAAGGATTACTTAAAGTGACAAATATTGACACTAGGCAAGAAAATTGCATGATTCAGGCAAACTGGCTTGAAGAAGAAAAACCAAAGCCAGAGAGAAGAGGGGATATAAAGAAGTACAACTCAAGAATGTTTTTCTGAAGTGGAAAATACCTGTAACCACATTAAACAGTCAGTAATCACCACAAGAACCATATGGAATACTCTGTAAAGGCTTTGGATGGAAAAAAAAAAACTCTTTGGGCATGTAGGCAAGAAACATGTGACTTATTTGAAGAAAATCCAACTGTTACCAGCCTCTGAGCATGATGGGAAAATGATATGACATGAGAGTAATTAATACACTCAGATATGAAAATGCTAGCTGAATATTTCCTATCCAGAAGATCCTTTGAAATAATAAAGAAGTCATGAATATTATTTTGATGGTCCTTTGAGGACACTGAGCTAAACATGGGGTTCTATAAACATATGCTTAAAGACCGAATACGATACATCAGGCTAGGAAGACAGAGCATATGGATAGTAACAGACCAGCCGTGTAGACACAGTGTAACTACTTAAGAAGGGGTAGATGTGGAGACAGACAGCCTGTAAGAACTGTATTGGTAAGAACACCAGTATCATTCTTATGCTAGTACCAGTGTTAAAGCAGGATTAGGACACTTTTTTTTTTTTTTTTTTTTGGTTTTTCGAGACAGGGTTTCTCTGTATAGCCCTGGCTGTCATAGAACTCACTCTGTAGACCAGGCTGGCCTCGAACTCAGAAATCCACCTGCCTCTGCCTCCCAAGTGCTGGGACTAAAGCGGTGTGCCACCACTGCCGGGTCACATTTTATTTCTTATCTTATGTAATGGTTTAAGGGATAACGTTTACTTGACAATTTACTACACTGATATCGGAAAGTTTTTTGTACTGTTGCTTTATTTATTAATAACAGAAAGTGGCAGTGGACTTTAGTGTGCACATAGGGAGGGGCCGATGCTGTGTGTAAAGTACCTTCACTTATTGCACTTTTCTTTAGCGGTCCTCCTTTGAGAGCCTCCTTTGTGTTGGAGCAGAAGAGTACTCTTGGGCTGTGCGCTGGGGAGCAGTCCTCGGACAAGGGAGTGCTGCACTCAGTCATGTCCCGGAAAATCATCTCCTTCTCTTACAGCAAGAGGAGGATCTGCTGGTCCTTCTGCTGAAGCTGTTCTGCAGGACAAATGGAGAAACCACCAAACTTGTCTGGAGTTGTGGCTCACAAGAGGACCAAGAGATGAGCACCACCTTGTGGTAGTTAAGGGAAGGGCCGCGACAGGAGGTGCTTTCCATCCTGAGCACAGGACTGCCCCTGTACTTGGTGAAGCTGCCCTGGGTTCTGTTGTGTGAAGCAGCAGCATTTCTGATGGAACTGCTCTGCACTTTGTCTGTGCTCCCTTCCTGATTCTCTCTTCACTACTCTCTGACGTGGGTGCCACGTTCCTGCAACCGCCTTAATTACAGAACCTAGAGAATTACTCATTTTAGGTCTTTTCCCGCACGGATATTTATTCCCTCTTTCTGAAACATTCCACCTGTGCTGTCCTGAGGATATCCGTTTCTTCCACAGGGCATTTTATGGGTCCTCCATCTGTGATGGAATGGCACAGCTGGACTGCCTCTGTACCCTACACGCTTTCCTCTTGGGGCTCACACTCTCTGTCAACCGCCTCCTGTATGCCGATAATCCCCAGCAAGCACCCTTAAACGTGCTTTATTTTTTGAAAATCAGACCACTGTGTGGACTATCATTTGAGTATCTCAACCAAGAGGGTACTATCAGGATAGCAGAAATGAATCGTTCCAGCTGACTGACCTCCCTCTAGATTACAGTTTATTCTTCTTCCCAGTTTATTCTTCTTCCTCTCCCTCATCTCCCTCTTCTTCCTCTTCTTCTCCTTCTTCTTCTTCTTTCTCCTCCTCCGCATCCTCCTCTTCTTCTTTTTCCTCTTCTTCTTCTGGTTTTTCGAGACAGGGTTTCTCTGTATAGCCCTGACTGTCCTGGAACTCACTCTGTAGACCAGGCTGGCCTCTAACTCAGAAATCTGCCTGCCTCTGCCTCCCAAGTGCTAGGATTTTTTTTTAAAGATTTATTTATTTATTATATATGAATACATTGTAGCTGTCTTCAGACACACCAGAAGAGGGCATCAGATCTCATTACAGATGGTTGTGAGCCACCATGTGGTTGGTGGGATTTGAACTCAGGACCTCTGGAAGTGCAGTCAGTGCCCTTAACCACTGAGCCATCTCTCCAGCCCCCAAGTGCTAGGATTAAAGGCGTGCGCCACCACTGCCTGGCATCAAGTGTATTCTTTTACTGTAATTTTTTTCCTATCCTAGTATCTGATCCTAAGTCATTTTTCTACATTCATGACTTTGATGTTTTATTCTTTTGTGACTGATTTTAACTAGGATCATCATTGACATGATGAGTTTGGAACTATCCATTGGACTCTTATGTGCTCCTTACTGGTCCTTCCTCCCCATGGCAACTGCAAGGAAGGGTTACAGCCCCTATCCTTGATTTACTCTTGGGGCCCACTGCAGGCAGCCATAGCTGCTGTGGAGTT